GACGGTGGCGGCGACGTCGATTGCGAGATCGAGCGACGTCGATGGCTGAGGACTGAGGACTGACAGCGACGACGACAGCGGCGGCGGCAGCAATGGCGGCGGCAAGGACGACGACAGGCAGCCGACGGCGGGCGATTGTCGACTGAAGACTTGACGATGATGATGGAGATGACTAGTTATGATGTCGGTGGTGGTGGCGAGTGAGGATTGACGACTGGCGATTGGCGAGCGACTGACGACGACTGACGACAACGACGTCGACGGCGGCGGCGGCGGCAGCGGCAGCTGCGGTGTCGACGACGATGACCGACGACTGACGCTTGACGACGATGACAACAGTGACGTCGATGACCGCGGTGGTGGCGACGTCGACTGCGAGGACGAGTGGCCTCGACGAATGAGGAATGACGACGACAGCGGCGGCTGCGGCAATGGCGGCGGCAAGGACGACGACTGACAACCGACGGCGGGCGATTGCCGACTGACTACTTGACGATGCTGACAGTGAGGAGCAGTTATGTTGACCTTGGCGGCGGCCAACGAGGTGTGACGACTGACGATTGACGAGCGACGTCGACGACAAAGACGTCGACGACGACGACGACGATGGCGGCGGCGGCAGCGACAGCTGCAGTGCCGACGGCGATGACCGACGACTGACGTTTGACGACGATGACAACCATGACGTCGACGACGACGGTGGCGGTGGCGTCGATTGCGAGGACGAGCGACGTCGACGAACGAGGACCCACGACCGACGACGACGACAGCGGTGGCGGCAATGGCGGCGGCAACGAAGACGACGACTGACGACCGACGATTGACGGCCGGCGGTTGACTACTGACGATTGACGACGACGACGGCTACGATGGCGACGACAGTGGTGGCGGCGAGCGAGGACGACAGTCAGCAGCGGGAGGAGCACGTGCCGCGATGGGAGGAGGACCGAGGGAGAGACACGGAAGGGGACGACGGTGACGTCGAGGTTAGCGAGGAGGAGGGGACGGAGCAGCGCGGAGTTGCAGCAGGCGCAGCATGAGTCGGCATGAAGAGAAGGATCAGCAAGCGGCAACATGTGAAACTATTTATGGAGGATGTGGACGTTGTTTGTTGACCTTGCCGCATGGAGGTCTGGGTGCAATGCTAAGCAGGATATGGTCAGAGGAGGAGGAGGAGGAGGAGGAGAAGGAGCAGCAGGAGGAGGAGGAGGAGGAGGTGAGAGCAATTGAAACGAGGGGGATGGAAAACATTCGCGCTATCCGTGCCACAACGCTGGCTTGAAATCGTTGGCGCCGCTTGTGGTTCCGATTTCTTTGGACCCCGGCACTATGGAAGCTGTGATTTGAGTTGTCGCCACACTTTCGCCTCCAACCTAGTCTTCGCAGCCTCCACACACAGTGTTTGACACTTTCCCTCTCTCTCTCAGAGTTAGTCTCCTTCACTAGCGCACCTCGCCCCGTGCGCAACGAGGTGGATCCGGTCGGTGGGAGCAAGGGGAAAGAAGTGGGAGAGCGAGGATCCGATACCCGATTAATTGTGGGCTCGTGGACTGCTTGAATATGAGTCTCGCCGAAATTCGCAGCCTCTAATTGGACTTGGGTTCAGTTGGCATCGCCCCTGACCATCACCCCAATCTCAACACTACTTCCTAATTTGCGTTTTCTGTGCCTGCTTAGGAGGAGTGATAAGAGTGATGGAACATGTCATGGAAGGATTGAGGCTAGGGGTTCTTGTTCATGGCATGTCCAGACACCGGGATTACGATGTGGATGGTTGGGTTGGCCCCTTTCTTGGAACTATCTATCATTTCCTCTCTCTCGCAATTGCCGTTCACACCGGCAATGTGGTCTCCCAGCCGCACGGTCAGCACAAGGTTGGTGTTGTTCCGCCTCCTGGCGAGGCCCCCATTACGCCGTGAGAGTTAGGTGGCTTCAGCCGACTTCCAGGCCGAGGTATCTTCGGAGCGCGTCTTCTGCAGGATAGCGAAGGTGAGGGTGGCCTGGTCCACCATTGTGCTTCCGGTGGTGCAGCCTGCTGCTCGGTGGCCCTCGGCCTCGGCTGCTGCGACCACTGCCTGCCAGACTTCTTCGTTCTCGGTTCTCAGTCTCCTGCGCGGTGACCTCGTGGGCCTTTTCCTTCGCCCCTGGGTCGGCCCAGAGCGAGGCTGCCAGCGCCGCGCCCAGCACCGTTCGGGGGCGTCCACGAGGGGGTTGACGACTAGCCGGGGGGGTGGGCGTCCCCATCATTCGCGCACATGCCTCGGGTCATGATTTGCGACCCCCCCTCTTGGACGCCCCCGCAATGTTGGGTTCGTTCCAACAGAGGAGCGCCATATCGTCCCTCCATCCTCGCTTATCGTACTTCCCATTGTCGGCGTTTGGCCGCATCAGAGCTCTGTACGATCTTCAGGCGCTACGGTCTCACGCGCCTTGCACAGACGATTCCGGCCAGACTGGGATGGTACGAATTCTCAGTTAGGATGGACGAGGGGTCAGGACCATGTATGAGTTTCTGATAGAAAAGCTGTCCCGGTAACCTTAGGGGGTGGGGGGCTGGGTGTGAATCTAATCTGCTTTAGGAAAGGAGAACCACGCAACTCACCATGCCGAACTTGAAGTTGTGGGCTCCACTACTTTCGCAATCACCCCACCAACCCGCAACCTGGTTTGCAAACGCGGCTCGATTGCGATGGCTGCTCGGCCTTGGCTGGCGCATCGCCGCGGCCGCGGTAGCGCTGACCGCTGGGGACTTCGCAGCACGTCTCGCAGGCCGCGTTGGCGCGCGGGCGCTTCAGTGCGAGTCGGTGGTTCGCAGGGCGCTGCATCACGGCGACGCCGACAATGGCAGACATGATGATGATGGTAGCGATGCTGGTGACGACGAGGACAATGACGACGGCAACGCCAATGACGGCGCCGATGTTGACCACGCCAATAACGATGGTGGTATCTTCGCATTGGTGCTGCAGGTTGCGATGAGGATTTCGACGCGCGCGCGGCCGACGCGCGCGAATGGCCCGCGTGGTATTACCTGACAGGGACCACCCCCGACCTCCAGCACTCGCGCAAATGCTTCCGAACGGTTTCGCCATGCGGCGCGAGAACCATCTTATGTAGGTGTTCTTGGGTGGACATGTTGGAAACAGTTGTGGCTTCCTTTCTAGAAAGTCACAGAAGCGAGCGCGCAATTGTTTACCGTTGCGAACACGCGTGTTCTTTATATGTGGCGGGCCCGCCGATGTTGGAACGTCTTACGAAACCGAAGGCTTCCGAAAGATGTAGGCATGCGCTCGCGACGACGCGCGCGCGTGCAGTTCTCCGCGTTTTAAGGGTGATTCTTGCGACAACACACGCGCAAGGGCGTTCGAACGATTTCGACATGCGCGCGGGAGGCATGTTTTGTAGCATTTGATGGAAAGCCTGAAAGCCACAATGGTATACTTTCTACAAAAACTAGGAAAACCGCGAGCACAGATTGTTGTAAACATTCGTGTTGCGAAGCCATGTTTTAATATGTGTTCGGGTCATCCGATGTGGATATTGTGGCGAAACCGATGGTTTTGAAGGGTTCCGGCATGCGCGCGCGACGGTTCGCGCGCATGCGCACTTCATCGCGTTTATTTGCAAACGGCTTTTGGACAATGATGAGATTTTGTACACGAGTGCGCGTACACATTTTCTGTTGCAGAAGATGCGTGGGGGGTGTCGATTAATGTATGCCTGGGGCGGTGCGAACTGTTATTTTGCATGGTCGATGGGGCAAGCTCGTATGTAAATATGTGAATTGCAATACGAAGCATGTAACGCGTCAAGTCAGGGGGAGTTTTTTGTTTATTTGAAATGAGAACGTATGTGGTGCAGCCCATGTGAAGCAGCATATATTGTGCATTCTATGTTCTGCAATCTAACGGCGGCGATGAGTGGCGACGGGCGGAGACGGGGCGGCGACGCCGACAACATAGTCACCCGCCAGAGCGGCAGACACGCCAAAACGACAGGCGGAGACGTCAGCAAAATGACCGCCAGACCGAAAGCACGGCCCAGACGACGGGCAGTGACGAGGCGGCGACGAGACGGCGACAGGGCGGCGGCGGTGGCCACATAGCCGCCAGACCAGCAGACCGGCCCCGACGACGGTCGACGAGGCGCCGACGACAGCAACGTAGCCGCCACACCAGCAGACAGGCCAGAAAACATATGAACCCCTAAGTGCAAGAGTTGTGTGGGAAACATGAGCATGAACTGTCCGAGGTCAGCGCGGATTCCTCGGATCGGCGCTGGATCCCCGCTGTCGGCGCGCCGCCCGTGGCGCTTTCCTCGCGCCAGGGATGGGGGTTCCAGCGCCGACCCGAAAGACCGGCGCTCCAAAAGTTCACGTTTATGCAATGTGTTGCTCCCCGAGCTTGCGCTGGAAGGAGGATGAGGGAGATGAGCAGGACGAGAACGAGGATAGCGGTGTTGACGAGGAGGGTGCGGCTGAGGATCGCCAGGATGATAGATTGGGGACGAGGACGAGGACATAGCGAAGCCTCGAGCAGCAGAAGGAGGGTGGAGGAGAAGGAGGAGAACGCACTCCAGATTTCGTAATAAAGGGAGGGGGGTCTCAGTTCGGGGGGGGTCTTTTCCAGGCTATCTTGGAGGGCCTGGGGGGTCTGGGGAAGATGTTTTGGAGGGTTCTCCGACGGGGGAGGTCTGAAATGGCTTGTCGTGAGGTGGGGGAGGAGGTCCAGGAAAACCAGGAAGAGGAGGGCGAGGATGAGGAGGAGGAGCAGGAGGAGGAGGAGGAGGAGGAGGAGGAGGAGGAGGAGGAGGAGGAGGAGGGAGAGGACGAGGGCGACAACGGGAGGGAGGGGGCGCAGGATGCGCAGCACGCGACTCCGCTCCTGCCCTGCGGCAGCGGCTTCGGGCGGCGCCGCTCGTCGAGGAGGCCTCGGCTCCCGAGGGGGGGGGCAGCTTCGCGCGGCGCCTCCCGGCCCCGCCCGCCTTGCCCGCCTGCCGAGGCGTGAAGATCAAGTGGTGCATCCCGCTGGTCTGCACGTCGGTTGCCCTGATGCTCCTGATGACGGGGAAGGCCGCGCGCCTAAGCTCGCAGGCTTAGAGGTTGACACCAGCACCAAGATCGGCGGCGTGCCTCCACCGAGGGAAGGAGATCCCGATCTCGGCGACGGCGGTCATGTTCTGGCTTCCAAGGCGACCGAAGTATTGCCACCGACACCGAATTCCAGGATCATCTTCCCCTGTAGAGGCAACCCCCTGATGCTCCTGATGACGGGGAAGGCCGCGCGTCTTCGATCCCTGTCTCGGGACGGGAAAGACCACACAGACACCATTGATCGTCGACTCCCAGGAAAACGTGGGGAACTGTGGAAAAGGGAAACTCCAGAGAATATGGAAGAATAGGGGGGGGGAGAATCCTGGATTCTGTGAGTGTATGTATGTATATATATATATATATATATATATATATATATATATATGTCGGCGGTGCCCGGTGCGGAGCGAACCCCCCCCCCCGGTAATCTCTCCTGGGGGGTTTCGAGCTGGCGCCATTCCCGGTGCGAGCCTGCACGAACCCCCCCGGTAAACACGACCTCCTCTGGTAGGCTGCACGACACCCCCCGGTAAGGACGCAACCCCTCCGTAAGCGGCGCGAACCCCAGCCCCGACGCGCGAATCTTACCAGGACGGGCCGGAACACGGCGGCGGCATTGCATCCCAGGGCCGTGCCGGAACACGGCGGCACTGTTCTTCTCTACGCGGCCGTGCCGTCGACCCCCCACAGCGGCTCTCGGGAGTTGCGCCGCAGCCTCTCGTATTGTGGCCACGAGCCACAATACGAGAGGCTGCGGCGGAACAAAGGCGAGCAGACGCGAATAGAGAACACAAGGCGAGCACACGCCACACTTCGACAGGGAGCCACCCTTCCCAACCGCCCCCCTGCCCCCCCCCAACCCACCCCCCACTCCCACCCCCCCACTCCCACAGGGGGGGGGGGGGAGCCCAGGTAGACGCAGTGCGGCCTGCACGAAACCCCCAGTAAAGCGACAGGGGAGGACCCAATGCGGCCTGCACGAACCCCCCCGGTAAAGCGGCAAGGGGGGGGTGTTCTAAGCCGCTGGCGGCACCCGGTGCGGGCTGCACGAAACCCCCCGGTAGTGCACGAAACCCCCCGGTAGTGCTGGGGGGGGGGGTTCGTGCCACGGCGCACCGCCGACATATACATATATATATATATATATATATATATATATATATATATGTGTGTGTGTGTGTATATCCCTGGGGGCGAGGCCGGGGGCCCCAGGACAGGTGCCTCCACCCCCCATGGGGGGATGGGGGCTCATTTTCCCTGTGTTTTTACAGGGTTTCCGCGTCCTGGGCCTGGGAGGCCGCCGCCTCCAACCCCCCATGGGAGGACGGGGCGGCCGGGGAGGTCCTGGAGGTTTTAGAACGGGTTGAGCAGAGGGGCCATACGTGTGATGTTAGGCAAATAGAATATGCTGCCTGTCACTGGTGTGCACTCGCCAACACCCTGCTGCCTATCTCCGCTCAAGTTGTTTTTGGTCTGAAGCAGGCCTGATGGGCCCCCCGGCGGCCCTCATCAGTCACCTCCAGACCGCTGGGATACGTGCTCTGGAACTGCTGGCGCTGCGGCAGTCGATCATCTCGGGGGTGCCGCCGTGCCCGGCAGTGTCGCTGGCGTGCCCGCTGGCGAACCTGACCTGCCCGCCGCAGGTCTGCCCGGCGCTGACGTGCGCGCCGCCGCCCTGCCCTCCTCCAGTGTGCCCGGCGCCGCTGGTCAACCTCTCCTGCCCGTCTGCAGGGGGAATCGTGGGAGCCGGCGAGTTCGACTCACCCTCGGCGTGCTGGGGGACTCTCGCTGGGATCGCGGCTGGGCTGGGGCTCGGCCGCGCCGCCCCGCGCCGCGGGCGTGCTGCTGACGCCGAGAGAGATGATGATCGCGCACCGTCCCCTGCCCCCGCTCGCCGCGGAGGGGGAGTGGTGCGCTGACTTGGCGGTCGGCACGCTGGTCCGGGTCTCCTACGCCGGGGAGACCATGGACCACACGAGGGTCGTGCTGTGGCCCAGCCGCCGCATGGACCAGAGGCGACGAGTCCGAGGGCGACACGCCTACTGGGTGCTCTCCGCGGACGGCGACGTCTGGGAGGAGGACCTGAGCGGGAGGAATGCAGCGACTGGGCCGTCGGGCGGGTCGCTGCTGGACCAGGCGACGGGGAACCCGCCCGACGGCCGCCGCCTCTATCGGTTCCGTGCGCGGCCCAGCCTGGACGAGGTTGTGGAGCTGGCGGCGGAGTGTCGGGCCACTATGCTCAGGCGTGGGCAGGCCGAGGCGGAGGGGCCGACGAGAGTGGTGCTGGCCGACGGGGCGGTGCGCCCCGGCCACGACTACTTCCCGTGGCTGGTGGCCCCGCGCCCGTGGGTGCTGACGGAGCCGCTCCCTGGCATGCCCATCGGGACCGTGGTGGATCCGCTCCCGGTGGGGGCGCTGCGCGACGGGAGCCGGGCCCTCGGCCTGCTCCCGAGCTGCGGCCGCTGGGCGAGGCTCGAGCAGGTGGACGAGGGCCAGATCGTCGAGTGGGCTGCCAAGAGGACGAAGGAGCTGCTGCTCGACCTCGGCGCGGAGCCCGACGCCATGGGCGCCGCCGAGCCGGTCGGCGGGACTGAGACCCCTCCGCTGCGCGAGGCTCGCTCGTCTGGAGGCGACCGCCTAGGCGAGAAGCTGGGGCTGACCGCGGAGGAGCCCGCCGAGTCGGCCGCAGGGAAGGACGACGCCAGCGGCGACGCGCGCACGCTGTGGGTCGACTGGGACGAGCAGGGCGAACGCAGGAAGGAGTTCAAGCGGGCGGTGGCTGAGAGCTCGGATGTGAAGTGGGACCATCACAGGCTGCCCGCCGACCGCACTTGCCTCCACACGTGCAAGATGATGGTGAACTTGAGTGGGTCCCCGCGCGCGTGGCTGGAGCGCTTTCTCAGGGAAAAGGGGATAGCTTCTACGGATCGAGTTGCGCACGAACTCCGAGTGTTGTGCGACATCCTGGAGGAAGCAGGCGAGTTTGACCAGATCAATCTCGGAGGACTGGCCTGCTTGGAAGTGGCCGCCCTCCGGCTGAACCTGCTGGTGGACGCGCACAAGAGCGGGCCGGCCTCGTACTCGAACGCGAAGTACCTCTCGCCGCTGACCGACGTGGACCAGTTGATGGCTCCTGGCTTGCGGTCTCACGTGTCGAGGCGCGCCAAGGAGGAGTACGAGCTGATGCAGGGCGACAGGAAGGCCGAGGCGGTTGCTGCTGGGGCGGCTGGCGCGCGGGTTCCACCGCGCGAGGGGGCCGATGACTCGGCCAAGGGTGGCAAGGGCGGCGGCGGGGGCGGCCGGGGTAACAAGACCCGGGCGCGAGCCCTCGCGCCGCCCGTGCAGGCATGACGGACCAGTCTCAGCCGGCGGAGTGGGCCCCTGCCGGCTGGGCTAACACATCGGCCCGGCGAGCGCCGCTGGCCCTGGCGAGCGGGGATAGGGACCTCTTCCCCCTCCCTCGCCTGGCCAGGCCGCCCGCCAGCAGGGGCGGCAGCCGCGCCCGGATTGCTGGCGCTCGGCGGCGGCGCGAGCACGAATTGGTGAACGGCGCGATCGACTCTCTCAACTGGCTTGCTGGATGGGAGCCTGACGACGTGGGCCCGCCGCGCTCCCTGGACGCCATGGGGGGCAAGCATGCTGGGATCGTGCAGTGGGTGGCCAGCGAAGCTCTTCGGCGCCAAGCCGCAGCTCCCAGCCCCTGTCCGTCCCAAGAGGCATCGCTCAGTGCGTTGCTCAAGGGGTGCTCGATCTACGACACGTCGGGCTCCCCGAGGAACCTGGCCTCCTTCGTCCGCGAGCGCGTGTCCTTGCCCCCTTCGGTTGTCGGCTGCCTCCAGGTGGACGATATCGTGGGCGAGGCCGGCCGCACCTACCTGAAGGAGAATCAAAAGCGTATGAGGCGGCCGATCGAGGAGATCGATTTTGACAGCTTGCCGACTCCCTATTTTGACCCGCTGCTGAAGCGGAACAAGAAGATGTACCACAACTTTTTGAAGGATCTCTCGTCCCGCGGGCTCTTGCTCGCCACCTTGTCTCCCGCAGAGCAGGCTGGCCTGTTCTTCGTGAAGAAGGCCGACAGCGACAAGATGCGCATGATCGTGGATGCGCGCCGGGCGAACGCTTGGTTCGGCGTGCCCCCCAGCGTCCAGCTCCTGTCGTGCGAGGGGTTCGGCAGGGTGGAGGTGAAGCTCCCAGAGGGCGTCGCCTTCGGCTCGGCGCGGGGAGAGGAGCTGCTGAACGGCTTCAAGCTCTTCTTGGGCATGACGGACGTCAAGGACTGCTTCTACAGGATGCGCATCCCGGTGAGCCTGGCGAAGTTCTTCTCGCTGCCCGCCGCCCCGGCTCACGTCCTGGGCCTGGAGGGGCACGAGTTGGAGGGGGCGAGGCTGGGCTGCGACACCCTCGTCTTCCCCTGCATCGGGGCTCTCCCCATGGGATTCTCTTGGTCCCTTTTCCTCGCCCAAGACGCGAACGAGGAGAGGGTCGTCCGGTCTGATCCGTGGCCAGGGGGAGACACGGCAGTCTCGGAGCGGGTCCTGATGAGTGATCGCGGACCGCCGCTCGTCGTGGAGGTTGAGCCCGGGCTGCACGGGGGTGCCTACGTGTACGTCGACAACATGGGGGTGCTCGCCCCCTCGGAGGGCCTCGCCAAGAGCGCCCTCGAGAGCTGGACTGGTCTCTTCGAGGGGGTCGGCCTTGACTTGCACAAGAGCTCGGTGGGCTCGGGCGCGTGCGAGGCGCTCGGGACCAAGCTTGACCTCGAGCTGATGAGGTCGGGCGTGAGCGACGGACGGTTCTGGAAGGTGTACCTGGGACTGGGGGGCCTGCTAGCCCGCGGCCGAGCGACAGGGCGCGCCTTGGAGGTGGTGCTGGGCCACTGCACCTTCTGCGGGCTGGCCCTCCGAGGGTCTCTGAGTTGCTGGCACGCCTCGTACCGCTTCATCCAGCGGCACTACCTGGAGCCCGCCCGGCTGTGGGCAGAAGTCGTGAAGGAGATC